CCCCAAAACCCCAAAACCCCAAAACCCCGTATATAAATCTGCTTCAAAATTTAAGCTTTGAATTGATGAAATTAAGATTAAGTCAATTCATTAAATTCATTCTTATTTCAATTAAATGTCTCTAGGATCAAGGGCAAATTTTAGAATTTATAGTTAGAAATTGACAGGAATAGATCCTTTAAATGATCTTCTGTAGGATTCATTAGTACTCTTCCGTTGGGGCTGGCTTTACAAAATTCATAAAATTGATCTGAGCTTTGCAGATCCATTCCTAGTCCAAGTACAATCAGATTGGCTTTAAACATCTTTATCAAATCAAAGATATCTTCTCTCTTTACTCGACTGTTCTCTACTTCACAAAATTCATTAGTGATGCAAATAATATATCGATGATTTTCCCCACCCATGCTATATTCCTTAAACTCTTTGACTGCTTCCTTCAATGCTTTAAACACATTTGATGGAGCTTTTGATAATGCTTAAATACGATCTATTTGATTTCTTAGCTATGTGGTGTTCTTGTCTTTATCTACTAAAGAGAAAACTACTCTAGCATTCTTAGAATATGTTATTAGGCTTATTCTATCATGAGATTCGAGTCCTCTATCAAATATCTATTCAAGTGCATTTTTTGCTTTATGTAGCTGAGGAGCCATTTTTTCATTAGCATTCACCAAAAAGATCATATCCTTATTTCTGTATTTGAATATTGCCAGCATATTATCTAGACTTTAACACTTTTAGCCATACTATCATAAAAACATTACTAAGAAATAATATACTTTTGAGAAGATTTCTTTAAGCTATAAAATGCATTCCTTTCTTATTCTTACATCATATATCGCTCCGTTTCTCTAATAAATTGTAATTAATAATATTTCTTACCATACACTAGGTGAAGACTCTACAAGCATCTTGATCTCTATTAAGTTCCTTTAATAAATATCCCCTATGCAATAGATACTTCTGCTTTAAAATTTCAAGTGGAATAATTGGAGTTTCTTCTCTTTGTTCTTAACTCATAACTATTTCCCCACTTTCTAGAAAGTTAATGAGCTTTCTTGCTTGTTTAATAATTTTTTCAGCCGTCAAAATTTTTCTATTTCTTAGATTTGAATATGCTCTGCTTATCTATTGAATTAAGGGAAAAATATCAACTTACTATAATCTTGATTATCAAGTCCAAAAATAGTGGATACTTTGTGTTAGGGATCTTGATTTATGTGTATAATTGGAAAGATTCTCTTAGTTCATAATCAACCTGCTACCAATTCAATTTTTTATCTTTAATGTCATCTGGCTTGTATCTAATGATTTTAAATCTGCTCATCGCTCTTTAATAAACCCTGTGGGCTTTAACTCTATAATAGTGCTAAAGCTCAGGTTTACTCTCCTCGTCTTTGCTAAGTTCTTCAATTAAAATATCGATTTTCTTTATAGATTTGCCAAAGTTTTAAGCTGCCTCGTGATACTGCTAGTTTTTGTATTAAATATTTGCTATATTATTGTAGCATATCCCAAGAGCTTTTAGATTTTTACTTTTCTTAAAAATGCTTGCTGCCTGAGCTAGATCCATTATAGCCTAAGAATCTCCTTTTTCTAAAGAAGCATTTATCTCGAAACGAGTTGTATCAAGCAGCTCTTAGAAAATCTACTTAAGTTTTTCAACTTCTGCTGAGCTTTGCTAATCATCTTCTTAATTGCTAACATCTATGTCAGTATTTCTATCTTTCATAGTCCTCAACTTTCTAAGTAAATTTTTGAGAGGTCGGAAAATTAAATGACTGACTTCATAAGAAATTCCAAATGTTATAAAGACTACCAAGAATAGTGTCACTCCAAAAAGAATATTAGCAATAAGAGCCTTGCCTTAAATAATGTTAATTTGATTTACACTTGAAGTAAAACTTGAAACTGGCATACAGATGAATAACTAGAATGAAAGTATTTGAGAATCAGTATTGTTGAAGGAATAACTTAATCTGACTGGAGCTTAAGAAAACAGCTCTTAGATATTATTTCTATAAAACATTCCTATAGATATGGTTTCCTGATTTAGTAAAGGTAAAATTGTTGCATTAAAGTCTATCGCTTCTTAAGAATAGACTTCTTCTGTTGTAGTTGGAGGCCAGTCTAAAAATTAAGTCTAAGTTATTGAGTATTATCTGTCAGAAAATTGTTTCAACGAGTGCCAAACTACTGTAGCAGATTGATCAAGTATAAAATAGTAAGCATTCCCTGAGACTTACAAATGTCTAGCTATATATTAGGAGGCTTTTAAATTGATGTCAGTGCATGAGGCTCCAATTTTCTCTCTACTGTTGACTTTTAAGTCAGAACAGATTGAACTAGTCATGAAGGTTGGTTTAATACTTAAATAAGGACTACTTATAATTGAATCTGCAAGAAAAGGATAATTTAAACTGTATAAAAATTACCTTATGTGCTGGCAGTCATGTCTTTATACCATTATCTGCATCTTGGGTCATAAGGTTATTTCTTATTAGCAAATGTACATCTACTGTTATCTTAAGCAGCAAAAACATGAGATGGATAAATATAGTAGAGACCATCATCAAAACCCAAATATATAAACAAACTAGAGTTCTTATTTTACCTATATTGTTTAATAAAGGCTGATTACTAGAAAAATGGCCAAATTAGTATACTTATGGCTGATGAAATTCTCAAATATTCTTAAGCTTTATTTTCTGTTAGCTATTGTAAATTTTAAGTGGTATTTCCATAAAACCTAAAATATGAATAAATAGTAAAAGAAATTGAGCTTACCACAGAGCGTAGGAAGAGTTATATGGAATAGATTAAGCTAATTGAGGGTCTTCGAATTATTCATTGAAATCTAACGAGTTATTAAACTAAAGTTTTATTTACAATCTTTATAGGTAGTTTATTTTTTTAAAACTACATCTTAGGCTGACAAATACCAAGGGAGATCTTAATTTAGCTTATTAGCTAAAGTTAATTGGTTATTTAGAATGTCTGATGCCATTTGTGAAATTTAAAGTTGATTGTTTAGATGCTCCTAAATGGTTTATAAATGCGATATTATTGCTATTACTTGATATTGCATTTAAAGACGATTGGACAGCTAAAATGATAGCATTTTCAAGTCATCATTTTTTATCTCAATCAAGTAACTAACTGTATTATAAATTTATTGAATGAGTGTAAGTTACTTGTTTGATCCCTTAGAGCAATGTAATTAAAAACATAGAGAAGTACTACTATAATAATGATTATGAACTCTCCAATCAGAAACAGTGGTACAATGCTTAGTATCAGTTTCCTTCTAAGAGAGTTTGGTCCAAAGCCTTTGTTACACATTTAATATTATAAACTGCCATTAATGATTTTATTAGATTCATTAAATTCTAGAAAATAGACGTTATGGGGTTTTGGGGTTTTGGGG